TCGTACCAAAATATTAGAAGCAAAAAGAAACTGGAAAACTTTTTTAAAAAGCGTAATTTAGACTCATGGAAGTTAAACGAGACGACTCAAGATTTAAGAGATTGAATTCGAAAACAAAGTCTGAATTTTAATAAACGAAGAAGATGAGCCGCGCAGATCACTCATTTTAAACAACGAATGCAGTGTTAAGCTAAAGAAAATCGCAAAAAGGCTAGATAACTTTTAAATCTGACACTGTCACACCGTTGACTTCTACGGGTATTCATTGTAAACTTCTGGGTAACGCTCACAGTTCTGGTATTTACTTCGCGTATACTGCGAGGATTAGCTCACATTTGATACTGTTAGAAAAGTTGTTTTGTTTTGTTTTGTTCACACTGTTAGAAAAGTCGTGAAAAGTGAACACGAATCGTTAGCTAAAGCGTTATCTTATGGCCAACCTTCTAACGTCGCGTTAGCAGTTTATATGAAATGCCAAGAACTTCGAACTCCTGTTATTCAAAAAGTCCTCGAGCTTGTCTCGAAAGAAATTACTGGGCTATGTTCTAGAGCGCCAGTAGTTTTATTCCTTTGAGCGATTTCCCATATCCAGTAGGCAGATTTTCAAAGAAATCTTGTTTTTCTTGTAAAATCTTTCGTATGGCGTCTTTCTGATGATTATTAAACTGTTTGATGCGAAATTTCTTAGCTGCTACCTCAAATACTTTCTCTAACGACGCATCTTATTTTCCATATGGCGCGAATGGTTCCTGGATTTCGAGAACTAAGCCGTGATTGGTTAATTCATAGGAAAGGAATGTTGTGCTCGGGTAAGCAGCCGCTACTCAGGGGAGAAAACGTTGCGTGACGACACTGAAAGCGGCTGTGGGGGAGACTATTTATCCAGGGGCTTTGAATGGTTTTTTTTTTGTCACGAAAAACAATTCCCCGGGGGTGCCCCGGCGGTCGACCTACTGGGAAGCAAATGATAAGTGCATAACGGTTGATTGAACCAATTTCACAAACAAATCGCAAGTTCGGGACCTACATTGAAAACTTCGGAACTAACTTCGGAATTAAAGCGGCCGAAGTTTTGTGAAACCAATTGTAAAGCAGTTGGGGATTTTGATGTACAAATGTGTACAATATTCCAGTAACAATAGTCACGGTACGGTCCACGTACGCCTACAAAACAGTAGGTATTTCGATAAACAAAATACTCAAAATAATACCCCAAAACCTTTATTTAAAAAAGAAAGTTATTCGCAAAAGAAGATCTAAGGATAGATCGGTCTTAATTTGGATTTAAAACTGCTGGAAATCTACTAAGAATAATGGACTTAAGTAAATGTTACGTCTATGTACACAATAACAATTCACCTAATGATTGAGAAATGTAAGCTCAACTCAAATTATAACTTGCGTTTTTACCTGCAGTTCCTGATCCACGCGTTGCTAAAAATAATATAAAACAAGAAATAACGTTAGCGAAATTCATAGTTCATGGCGGTTGGGAGACTTTTACGAGGAAACATTTTTAATGAATCAAAGTTGCCGTACCTCTGCTGCTGTTCGCTGTGGATCTGTTGGAGATGTCGAAACACTTCTTGTACCAAGAAAAACACCCTTAAAAATAGACGGGGAAAAGGCAAAATTTAACCAGAGTTAGCTTAAGACTTCATCTTTTATTTTATCTTTTTAATTTTGTCTTACTCGAGTTGTCAAAGCTCCTTCTGAGCGTTTAAGGAGAGAGGTTAACAGAGCCCTTGGTGCCGCCATTGCAGACAGGTTACTAAGAAAGAATATTATAGGTATAGGCCTGCATAAATTAACTCAACGAACCAATCAGGGACGAGCTAGAAAATTGATCGGAAGATCGACTAATCGGGAGATTACTGCCACGTGAAAGGGTCCAAAGTCCAATCTAGCAAAACCTTGGTATTCAAAACAATGATACAGTACTTAAATTTCTAACCATCTTTCTTTTATTAAATTCAATTTTCATATTCAGTCACCTTGGACAAGGTGCAAGGTGATAATATTAAAAAAACGTATTTATGACTTCAACAATTGGCAAAAAATTGTATTTCATGACTAGCTTACCACAGGTAATTATCTATGTACCCACTCGGCTACACCTCATTGTTATGAGTATTATAACATTTTGACCAACTGTTGACGCAAAGTTACCATAGAAATTTTGTTAATTGAAATGATTCTTATTTGTTGTTAGAATAAGGATTTGTAAGAAATTCCTTTTGTTGTAGTCTTCAGCTTTGTTTTTTTTCCTCTTTTTTTTTTTTTTTTTTTNTTTTTTTTTTTTTTTTTTTTTTTTTTTTTTTTTTTTTTGGTTTTGTGAAATGATCATATAACAGGGTGCCAATATATTAGTAATAAACTGGCACCCCTCATATTAGCAGAGTGCGTTTTGGGTCATTGACCAAAGGGTGGCTCCGTGGAAACCCCTTCGTGAAGCCGATGAAGCACGGCCTTCGTTAGATGAGGTTAATTGATGAAATAGTTGATTTATTTATCATGGCCGTTGCGCTCAGTAGAATGCTCCCACTCCCTGAAATCCTGGATCTGCTACTAACAAGTATGTTTTCTGGCGTTCCTGGGTAGGTGGATCATGGTGGAAATGTCAAAATGTTACCTTTTTACGTGATTAACCAGAAATTTCTATACTTTCATACTACTAATATCTTGTGTTCCTTCTGAGATTTTTGATTGAGGCCTGACTTGGCCCAATAAATATCACGCCCTTAGTGCTTAAAAGTCAACGACACTATTGACGATTATTAAAAGTTCTTGGACGTCATTTGAAGTCAGCTCAGCTGTTTCGGTTTATGCGGTACGGCCGGCATATATGCTCTAAGAAGCAATTTGAAATATTTTTTTCTAAAGATTGTACATTAATTTTGTTCCTGTCAAAATGCTACAAAATAAACCACTATCGAGAACAATTCCCATTATGTAAAGACTTAAACCTGAAATGATAATAAAAAGTTAAAGAAAATTAAATGAATAAAATAAATTATTCATTTTACGTGGTGATGTGGGGAGTCGCTACTAAGTCTTCCCTAGCCATTGGACCTATAGTCAGACTTCCAGAGGTTGATGTTTTTTCTACAACTGACATATACAGTCAATTCAAAAAACGTTATCGTCGACCAACTCAAGCCACGCGACTGGACCGAAAAGAGACTCTGAGTATAAAACACTAAAGCCAAGTTGAATGCATAATTTCATCTGATTATCTATGCCTCTGGTTTACAGCAAGAACCTTCGTAGGCTAGGCGTGCGGGAAGTGTCGAAGGGGACATTTTTTGATGCCTTCGTATTTTCGGAATTGTTAACTGAATCATAACTATACTGCAGGGGCGGCGGAAGCGGGGGGGCCGGGGGGGCACTGGCCCCCCAACTAGATTTTTTGGGGGGGCCTGGCCCCCCCCCAGAATATAATGCCTCACACACAAAAAAAAACGCATGAGATTTGGTTATGATTACCATTATTTATTATTTTGATATTACATAATTTTCTGTATCTAAAAAAKATACGATATATCTAGCGACGACTTGCATCATTTTTGTGTCTCTCAGCACAATTGCAAGTGGTTTAATGCGCGCAAAATGTTACTGATTGAAATATCACACATACACGTTTGTAATCAAGCTAAACAGGGAGGGGGGGGGGGTCATTTCAAGGTACCGTGAAATATTGGAGTGCCCCCCCAAAATTTTTCAACTTCCGCCGCCCCTGTACTGCTTTGCTTTTCTTTCCCTAAACCCAAAGACATACATTTGTTGGGTTGTTTCTCGCCATTATTATCTTATTACTAGCGGGAACAATGAATTCAGAACGAATAATTAACCGCTTCAGTGATTTTTACCCATAATCCCTTTCGGTCCAGTCTCGTAGGTTTGACCCGGTCGACGACAACGTTTTTGAACTAGCTGTATACTCCACACTCTCAAACCCATCAAACAACACTCCAAACAAACCAGGATCGACGGCAAAACCTTCTTACGAGGATGACACCTTGTTTTCTTTCAGCTTAAGTTCCGTTATGAAGAAAAAAAAGCCAGAAATTAGACGACCCCATATGCACCTTAAAAAGTTACGTGCCTGCAAACAGCTTGCAAACTTTATTCACACGTCACGACTTGAAAGAAATTCTTGTTCTACGGGTATTCAACTGCACGAAAGCTTTGGAGTATTGCCTTGACAATACGAATTTTATATTTCTTTCCTTTTTCGTATGACGCGAAATATCGCAGCTAGAGAGCATGCCGTTGAGAACTCTATTGATCGCAGCAAGCCGGAGAGATCGCAGTCAGTAGCATGCGCATTTTTCATGTACGCTCACGGCACAGAACGTGTCTGCATCTAAAACAAAAAACTGGTTTTTATTTGGTTATCCCTAAAAGCCTATGAATTAACTGGTTATTTTTCAGGGCTGTGGCGCTCGGAACCCCAGAACACTCCGCGACATTGGCAAAACTATAAGCGAAATAATGAAGTTCGATTTTGAATACTATTAGTTATACATACAAAAATCGATGCTTTTGTGATCTGAGCACACGGGATGTGAAAAGAACACGAGAAAAAGGACGAAATGAAGACAGAAAAAAGTCGACAGAGAAAATATAAAGACAGACAGGAGTGACACACACACAAATTGAGAGAAGGAGAGAGCTATTACCGAGCTAACTCGAATACGTGACAAAAAAAAATTCCATTTTGTATCGCCCCGGTTTCCATAGTCAAGTGCGCGACACGTGTATACGTACACTGTTATAAACGACAACCGAGGAGCTCTGGGTACGAGGGTGTCCGCCAAGTCCTTCCTACTTCAACACAAATTCAAATACGCATGCGTTGTTGTCAGCACCGGTCACCCGTGCTAAACATTACAGCATCACTTTGGCTTCCATGAATGACGTAATGTGCGTGGGGAATTTTCAGAAATTTTGCTTTGCTTCACTGAATCAACTAAAACCTGTCAAAACTGTTTTCAATTTGATAGGATGTTGTTGTTTAAAGACGCTATATATTTAATAATCAAAACCTAAGCAAACACTTTGTGTGATTTGTATTTTAAAATATTTTCTCTTTCTAAGTGTTGCCTAGAAATATAAAATAAGTGGAGGCTGTAAGTTTAGCAAATTGAATTTGCTTTGGAATAAGATTCTTTTGAGCGACTTAAATAATAAGTAGATAGCGGGTATATATATATATATATATATTTTTTTTTTTTTAATTTTTTTTTCCACTAATTTCTTTTTTTATTTTCGCTTCAATTTTTCTTTCCATTTTTCTTCCTTTTTCTATCATTTTCCTTTTTTCGTTATTGCAATTAGGTATTACATATTAAGAATGTATGAGAATATATATTTTTATCATATAATTACCAATGAAATATCTATTTTTCTCTATTTCGAAGAATTGATATCTTCACACGTGAAAATAACATGTTATTTTCACGTGTGAAAATAACACCATTGCAATGGCTATTCAAAAATACACGGAAAGAATTGCCTGAAAAAGCCAAAACATACTTCATTGATAATTATATAATAAACAGAATATTACATGGCCGCTTGGAGATAGGAATTTTATCTTCTCGTGTTGAAAATCTCTCACGCGTTCGCTACTCTCACTCGTGAGAGATCTTTTCAACACTAGAAGATAAAATTCGTATCTCCGCGCGCCCATGTAATATCTTCTATATATTACTGAGAGAGAGATTTTTAATTTTTCACTGATTTATTACGTCTTCACTTAATACATTTTTCAGTTGCCTTCTCAGTGGTGATGTCTAATTTAGTTGAGAAAACTTAAAAACGAATCTTAAAACTTTAATTATACATAAATAAAATGATTGAAGATATTTAGTAAAGATTTTATTTTTGGTACGTTTTTCGTGGAGTATTCTTTTCCCCTTGGTAACTTGTGTAATTGCATTCCATAATTAAAAAGACTTTGATCTGTGGTTTAACTTATTTTTATGTGAACAGATGTCATGTGACATACCGTTCTGTGATTGGCTGGTTCGCACTTGCCTCGCGTCTCTTTGCAAAGTACCGCGATTAATTATTTCAAAAGAGCTACAATTTCAATTCTCTAGTGTTAATATTCCAATATTTCACGAAATTTGTCGTTATTAAATAGCCCCTTTTAGATATTGGGCGTTATTTGGTCTCATTTTCCTATTTCATTTCATTCCCTAGAGTATCATTACTTTGTATAGCGGTTGCGCATACAGTGATGAGAGACAGCGCCATAGCCATGCCATCCAGAGGCCAGCCAAGACCAGTGAAGGAGATTGAATCAAAAAAATTAAAGGAAATTGAAACAACTGTGCGAGGTCTTACAACAGAAAAGACAAACTAGAACCACTACTCAACAAAGCCACTCCTGGGGGGGGATAGATAAGGTTAAGGACAAACGAATAGCTGTAGAAATAGGGATTAGCACGAGGCACAAGCATAAGAAATAAAATAAAACGCTGTCCACATGTAATAATTTTTTTTTAATCCGAGTTTTCCCCTAGCTTTTCGCGGGCCTTTTCGCAGGCACTATCGATCACACATCTCTTATCGATCACGGGCATCGATAAACTGACATAGACCTCTTTACTTTGGGCAAAAGTTTTTTTACCCATTTCTGGCAACGTGTCATTCCCTTGAGAATAAGATTTTTCGTTTGAGCGGTTAGTAACCTATTCAACCTATTTCTGTTGAGTTTTCTCCTAGCTTTTCGCGGGCCTTTTCACTGGCACTATCGATCACACATCTCTTATCGATCACGGGCATCGATAAACTAATATAGACCTCTTTACCTTGGGCAAAAGTTTTTTTTACCCATTTCTGGCAACGTGTCATTCCCTTGAGAATAAGATTTTTCGTTTGAGCGGTTAGTAACCTATTCACATACTCCCATTCATGCTCAGTTGATATAAGAGATGGGATGAAATATTAGCCAGCAGTCTAGGCCAAGCTCACACGTGGACCCATGGGTGGGTGGGTGGGCCGCCAGTCAGACTCGTTCCGCTGGCAAAACTAAGCAAGAATGAGTGTATTTACTCGAGGCGCTTTTATAGCCAATCCGTGGCGTTATTCATAAATATGCAGTAGTGCTAATGATCGATTATTTTTTAGTTATTTCTTTTTCGCATATCATTAGGAGTATTTAGAGTATTTATCCATATTCATGTGTCTTCTCGTACGCAACCATTAGACAAAGAAATTATACTCTAGGGAATGACACGGACGATAGAAAAGAGGCAGCGCACTTACCAACTTACCGCACTTGCTCACTTGGAGTCCAATACTTGGAATTATTAGGAAACGTTTTAGTTCTGAAGTCCAAATAAAATGCGAATCTTGACCAAAGAAAAACTTACATTCAAATAGTCTTAGCGTTCACTCGGGCTCCAAAATTAAAGTAAGGTTTGAAAGATTTTCTGGCTTGATCTAAGTCAGGGCACAGCTAACACACAGATCAAACGCTGAAACAACCACTTGGCTGATCTAAGCCGGTCAGGGCACGACTAACTCACAGACCAGATGTAGCACCTTTGGGGAAGGAGGAAACCGTCCGGGAACCCGAGAAAAAAACTCGCACTAAGGAAGAAGCCTAACAAACTCTACTCACAAGTGATGCCGAGCACAGAATCGAATCGAGCCCGAGACTTCAGAGATAAGAGGCGAGTGTTGGCTATAGCTACCGCTATAAGCGACCCTAATTCGCTATGGTGTAAAAATATAGTCCAATAAGCGTAGTCAGTTATCTTCTATACTGAGATACCAGCCTCTTCAAAAATAGTGGTTAGTTTTGTCCAGTTCCTTTTAAGACTAGTGCACTTCTCTTATAATCAGTCGGATAATATAAATCATTCATCAATCCAACCGGCTTCTATCACAACCTGAAACGCTTAGTTAAACTCCAAAATCCAAAATCCCTTTGACTTTGAAATTTTTCAGTGCGTGAAACTGGTTTTGACACTCCTGTCGCGCCTTCATATCCTCGGGTACGCTTAAATTGTTTCTGAGATAACTTTGACACCGAGGTCGTGAAGATGTGTCCAAACTTTTATACGCTTAGCTTGATTCAATAACCTCACTGCACTCTTCCAGCCGTACGAGAACCATTAATATTTCATCAAATGCTCAACCATGCACTGAGACTGTTTTCCTTCGAATTCCTGGTTGTAAGACGTCCAAAACAAACTAGTTAATATCCTAAGATAAATATCACTTCTTTTGGTTAAAATACCTTTGTCATTTAGTACCCGATTTGAAGGAACATTCCAGGAAACGAGAGCAAGATTCCAGCACATCACGAGTGTGATTCAGTGAAACTCAAAATTATTGGAATCTGATTACGTCTCTGATTCGCAGTTCCCGTGTATCAATACCACTTAATTCTACATCTTAAAGTTTGAAAGCCTAGGATCATTCGAAAAGGTAACTTAAGTGTATAAAGTTGTCATTGGGACGTTTCTTAAGTCCAAGTTTACTAAATAGCTTGGATTATAGCCGCTTTATTTATTCCTAGATGTCATGAGTTGTATCAGGCTACAAACTGCTACAACCATATAGTCTCGCCTGTGGTCACATGCACTACTTATCATGATGATTTGGCTTGTGTCAAGAAATCAAATTACGTTTACTTCTCAGTTTGTTTCTGAGGTTATATCTTTTCATTCACCTAAGTTCTTATTTCACTTTATCAGTATAGAATTTGGCATTTGTATCCTGAACTGACGCGCAATCATTTTTCATCCAATATTTTATTCACTATTATTCATCACTATTTATTTAAGTTTAAAAAGGCAGTCATTTTCCTATGCCAGTATTCCGTCACTGAACTCGAAATGTCAACAGATCATAAAATCTCATCGGCAAAGCCTGACTCAATCGTGTTCTTTGATGTCACAGAATTTCTCAAGCAGTTCATCTAATTTACGAAATCTTTCCATTTGCCGCAATCAATTTTTATACTAAAAAAAACTAATTTCAACTATCATTTAAGACTTTGTACATTATCGTACTAAATGTATAAAATAGAATCAGAGAAAGCTATGTTAAAAAGTGCAATTTTTAGCTTTAATCTTTGGAGAGAATATTTAGTCCATTTCGTAGGCCAGAACTGTGAATTCTAGATGTTATATTGTTATATATGCACTCTAAGTTAAAACAGATATAACGCATCAACACGGCAGGTACCAGTTAGGAAAGTGTTGACCCAAATGAAGCGAACAGCAAACTCGCGTGACACACGCACACTCACTGGTCATAGTCGAAGGTCCCCGGGGAACTACAACTAGCAAGCGCCCGGGGCGTCCAATTCTCTCCTAAACCTTCGACTTTTGTTTCTGTTTTTGTTATTTAAATTTATGTTTTAAAAAAGTTATTATCATTATTTTGTTTTAGTTTATTTTAAGTTATTAACTTGAACGTCGAATAGTTTCGTTGACCCATTTTAGTTTCTGCGGGAAACCCTTTCGCTTCTGGTTGGGAACCCATTTTAGTGCCTACGCCACCCAGTTTATTAGTGGGAACCCATTTAAGTGTTAGAGGAAACTATTTTTTCTCGACAGAACCTTTTTTAATATTTGGCGGGACCCATTTTATTCGCCAAGGGAACCCATTTTAATGTTGAAAGCCATTTTAGTGTTTAGCTTTGGTGGGAAACCATTTCTGTGTTGACAGAACCCGTTTCGACGTCGTTGGAAAGCCAATTTATTGATGACGGGAACCTATTTTAATTTAACGTTTGCAGCAAACCATTTTAGAAGCAATTTTTGTGTGGGTGGAAACCATCATAGTGTCGGCTTGAAAGCATCTTGCTGCCAGTGACTGAAGTTTCACTATCGTTCATGTTAGCCGTACCAAACTCGCCCCAATAAACTTCAAATTTGAATTGTTTCAAAATGTTCATTGGTTTATATCAAGTAGAGAACAATCAAAAGCTGTGCCAACAGGTTGTTTACACACTTCATCAATAAACCTCCTGGGTATTTAGCTTTGTGGAAATCCTTGTTTAATGAGAAGAATTTAACAGGTGCTATATTATGCCCTGACACTTTTGACTGTTGGCCTTCAAAGCAAAGTTTCTTCATCAAGAAATTCTCTCTCCAACCGTTCCTTCCTGCAGATTAACTATTTCTACCAACGATATGAAAGAATGATGACAACGAACTAAAAATTCCCATCACGACAAAATCTTGGGTCTACGTTTGTGTGCTTAAGAAAAATGTGTGTTTTTAACGCATTTAAATTGGAACACAAGAATGAAGAAGGCTCTTGAAGGTGTTGTAGCTTAATTCTTTTTTAATAAGATATTTCAACGACAAGTTGTATCACCTTTTTAAGTGGTACGTACTGTAGACTACATAGACTTTCGATACTTGTCTTACTAACAGATTAACGTTTGGTATATTTGCTATTTATTTGTTCCTGGTTCGATCGGTTCATGTTACCGATCAAATCAGTGAATGACCAACAGACATTTTGTTTGTCTTGAACTCAAACGATATTTTTAAAATAGGTTTTTGAAACCCACCATGGAATCCAGTAAATATCTGTTTAGGGGAAAAATCAAGAATGCGAGTAAAGTAAAAATATTTTTAGAGGAGTTTTCAAAAAGGAATGATTATAAATCGGAATGGTCAGTTTTCAGAATTTGAATTTGATTTACTAGACTGTCTAGAGATCTATCATTTCTTACCGGACGGATGAAGTAGTAGTCCCGGACTCCAAGAGGCAATCAATCGGGTCTCAGTAGGTGTTTTGTGTAAGGAAATATAGATATTGTTCAAAGTTAATTGGTGACAGTTGCTACGAAAAATAGAGATAAGGTGTACTAACCATTTAGACCAATCCTTTCGGTTGGAAATTCGCTTGCTAAAATGGTAAGCCTAAGGACGCGCGGATTTTCACTTTCGACAAGAGGTACACGCATCTACCGGAAGAACCAAAAAGAGCGGGAAAAGTGGATTCTCAATCGAAAGAGTTGTCCGGAACTTTCCGATCGGAATCATGAACACGTGCCATTCCTTTTTCCAACTGGAATTTCCGTCTTTTGTTTTTCTTGTTAAATGGTGATAACCCAAGACGCATACGAGATTCCATACAAGAACTTACGGTTTGAAATTCAAAACTGTAAGACTTCACAAGGCAGAATAGTTCTAGTTCTAGTAATAGTTCTAAAGGTAGATTTTGGAAAGCACGGGTTCTGTACTTGATCCACGGACTCGCTGGCTTCATATGAAATTAGTTGAGAGTAGAAATAGTCCTTGTAGTTCATATCGAGGGTTTTCCTCAACAGAGAATAGCTTCTAAATTCCAATTCAATCATGGAACGAAGGCCAACTAGTTATTTCCAATCGATTAGCTCAGGGGATGTTTTAGTCCACACGTGTCCGCAAATTTGTGTGTCCGTATCCGCAAATTTTACGAAAACGGATACGTGTGGTGAAAACGATTCGGATACGCTGCGTGTGGACGCAAACATTTTCGTATCGAAAAAAAAAAAAAAAAAAATTGCGGATACAAAAATTTCCGGATACGTGTGGACGGGGCCTTACAGTATGCATTTTGAGAAAGTCACGAAAGACTCGAAATATTGTTCACGGTTCGAATGCCCTCAGTGTAACAAATACGAAAAGTGTGAGGAATTTCACATCAAGGCGTATCAGAAGGAGATAATGTGGATCGAAAGACACCCAGCGGGTCTAATATTTAATTTTAATACAGGTTTTGTTTTTGCTTGAGCATTTGGTCAGTGTAATTCATCAAAAGTTTACAATGTTTTCTATTTATTACAGGGTCACATATATAAGTATATAAATGCTGTTGAGTGCTCCATGTCGAGGGTAATGATGACATACCTGGCATCAATTCGGGGCTGTTGACTTTAGTGTCTTCAAACCGAGGCTATTGATGACACCGCTATGAGTGAGAGCGTCAAAGTCATAGCACGCTGCAGACCATTGAATGAAAGTGAATGTAAAATGAAGACTGAAACTGTGGTCATCATGGACCCCTCGAAGCGTCAGTGCTCCATTAAAAAACCTTCAGATTCCTCCAACACGAGAAAGGTGTTCACTTTTGACGGTGTATTTAATTCTTCTTGCGGGACGGACACCATCTACCAGGGCATCGTACAGCCGATAGTCCAGGGTGTCCTCGATGGATATAACGGGACAGTCTTCGCGTACGGACAGACGTCGTGCGGCAAAACCTTCACGATGGAAGGCGTTAAAGAACCAGAAACACAAACCGGTATCATCCCTCGCTGCTTTAACCACATCCTCAACAGTATCCATAGCAACAGCAACCATGACAACAGGGAGTATCTATTGCACGTGTCTTTTCTTGAGATTTATAATGAAGATATAAGAGACTTGTTGGTCAAGAATAGTCGGTGCAAACTTGAAATTAAGGAGCACCCAGATAAAGGGATGTACGTCAAGGGTTTGTCGAGCATAACTGTGGACTGTTATGAAGACATGGAGGAGATTCTAGCCATCGGATCAGCCAATCGCTCGGTAGGAGCAACTTGTATGAATACCGGTTCATCTAGGTCGCATTCGATATTTATTATTGACCTAGAAATGAGTATACATCACGGTGAAGGGAAGGAATTCTTTCGAAGTGGAAAATTGAACTTGGTTGATTTGGCTGGCAGCGAACGACAAGGAAAATCGCTTGCGACAGGGGAACGATTTCGAGAAGCGACGCGAATCAACTTGTCGCTGTCGGCCCTTGGTAATGTTATATCTGCTTTAGTCGATGGTAAAATAAAACACATTCCTTACAGAGACTCTAAGCTTACTAGATTGTTACAGGATTCCCTTGGGGGGAACTCTAGAACGTTAATGATCGCTTGTATCAGCCCGGGGGCGAATAACTATGAAGAGACACTAACTACACTGAGATATGCTAAGAGAGCAAAGAATATCAAAAACAGACCGAGGATCAATGAAGATCCTAAGGATTCTTTGATCAAGAAATATCAAGAGGAAATTCAACAGTTGAAGAGAATCATTGCACAGGAGATTGATATCCCGTCTCACCTTGCGCTAGAAATCGAAGGTACATCATTTTTTCTTAACGTACCGTAATAGGCCGTTTACATTATGGCGTCATCTACTACCACTACCATAATGCTTGGCGAATTTTTATTATCATTTAAATTTGTATTATAAGAATATAATAAGAATAGTCATAAGAATAGTATAAGACAAATTCTACTAATTAACTGAACTGACAAAAGAAAGTTTGCAAAGGATTCTGTGAGTGGTAGTAAGTGACGTCGTAATGTAAGTGTCCCATCGGGAAGTGGGGGAGGGGGTATAACGAGGTAGTAAAATAATGATTCGCTGATGTGAAGGCTGAATGAGCTCAACAAATCACTAATTTAGTCACTTATTCCTTTGTTCATTCATTTACTTATTAACACATTCATTAATTTTACGCTTCGTTCAGTAATACGTCCATTCATTTTAGTTTTCTGACATAGTTTTCATTAATCCATTCATTATCGTCCAGTCTTTCGTTCCTTGAAACTCTATATAAATACATGACCTTGTTTTCTAAAATCAGGTCATTACATTGAAAAGAATATGTGGACCGCGTAGCACTTATGAAATACAAGATATAGAAATATAGATAAGTTATAGTGCTTGGGAACGAGGTTATTTCGGGCAAAAGACCCTTGGAATTAAATTCGGAAAAATTAATTTCCGACCTCGCTGGGAATCGAACCCACGACCTTCGGAATTGTACTACCGATGCTCTACCAGCTGAGCTAGAGGTCAGACTGAGAGCAGGCCGGGGTGAAATAGATGTTAGCTCGCGGTAATTATGATGCAAAGATGAGAATACGTGGACCGCGTAGCACTTATGAAATACAAGATATAGAAATATAGATAAGTTATAGTGCTTGGGGACGAGGTTATTCCGGGCGAAGACCCTTGTTATTACATTGACACCTTATGTACTATCGTTAAAATACAAGTAGAACAAGTTTTTCTAAGTACAGGAATTGTTTTAGATACTGGGGCAGGTAGGAGGTAGTTAAATGAGCTGCGGATTCGCAGTGAACATTTTAAAAATGGTTGTAGCCCTCCCCTCTTCAATCAGCAAAAAATTCATGATCAAGTCAACAAGAAAACAGTTTTCATCAAAATAAAAAGGCTTGACCCTCCACAAAAAATTCAAATTTTTACTGATGATCATTCACTCTGAAGCCCCAAACCTCCGCCAATTAAACACGTACTTTCCCTAAAATAGCTTATTGTTATGTTTGCAGAATTCAGGAAAAAGAAAATGCAGAAAGCTTCTACAACACAAAAAGAAAGTCTAACAACAGTAACGACAACAACGACATACGAAGTCCAGGAAATTCAAACACAAGTCTTAAAAAAGAAGCTTCTCCAAGCAGAAGGATTCAAGACCTTATCAGATTTAAAAACCGAACTTTCTGTAGAAAAACGTTTTGAACTCGCAACTTGTCAGACAGTCGTGGAGGAGAAGCACTCGCTGATGACGTCACGTCGCAATGGTGACGGCGCATGCGCTCTTGCTCTACAGTACGATGAAGTCGGGATTCCTGTGGATGAAGATCACGTGCCAGTAAAGTCAATTTCTACAGATGATTTGCATAGTTTGTCGAGCTTGAACTCTGATGCACATGCGTCTTCATCAGACAGTGATGTATTCGAATTCCCAGAGGATTGGGATACTCAAAATCTAGGTGTGCTGGTGAGGGAGTTTGGTGATGGGCGATCGAGAAGCGTTTCGCCTTACATCGGAGAGCAGAAAAGGAGTGATACCAACATATTGAAGGGGAAAATGCCAATTTATCTTGATGACGAGGTTAGTTTAGTCATCTTATTTTTGACTTAAAGCTCTCGATATTTTTTTCGATTATTTTACTAGTATAAGCTTATCACAAGCTTGAATTTCATTGAGGGTGGTACTTGAATAGGGCCATTTAAAAACAGTCTGCCTAAAGAGGGGGATCACACAAAAAAAGATCCAAGTCGCATAGCACTTTAGTCTCCAACACATCTGCTATTAGGGTCGTCACGCAACACCCTCCCCGACTGGTAGCTTCCTAGGGAAGCGAGAGCATTGCGTGACGACACTAATGGCAAACGTGTAGGAGACTAACAGCACTTTTACTGTAAACAGTAAGAAAAACAACAAGGTGGAGATTCAGATTTCTCGTGCGAATCCTATATATTCCCTTGGAGTTCACATTCTCTTTATTCTCGTACCCAAAGCCTTCTCAGCTTCCTCGAACGACAAATCGAAGGTTCATGGTGATTTTTTGGTGAGAAGGGTCTGGGTATCTATTTTGTTCACTAACCATTTAATTATTCATTTCCTTCGTATCTTGTTTCGCAGGGTCCAGTGTCCGGGGCCTTGTGTAATCTCTGTTTTGGAATATCATTCTTTGGAGAGAGACTCGCCATAAAGCAAAAAGTCTTATAAGACTGAGCCGTCAAGTTAATTAACTACGAACAAATAAATTGTAAAGTAAAATGTGGCGCATGCGCAGAACATTGCATGAATCTCTTCGTAAGCCTCAATCTCGTTCCCAGAGCCCTTATTTCTTCTGCGCATGCTCGACGAAATAATTTGTTTCGTCGAGCATGCGCAGTAAGAAATAAGGGCTCTAGGAACGAAAGTTGTAAAGCCTGATTTAGCAGCATAACGAATTAAAGACAAGCGTCGTTTCAGTTAGCAGCAGAAACAGACCTGATTTGCATGGGCGCAATGGTGCCCCATTTTAGACTCCAAGTATATATTCTTCTTAATTGGAATAAATCTCATGTTTCACTTTCGTCTGTACTACAGTCCTTCTCTATACCAGCACGTAAACCAAGGCGTTTCCTTGACATTCCATAGACACGTGAGAAAGATGTTTATTCAAACTAGGGACTAAAATGTGGAAACATTACTGCAAAATGCGTTAAAGGTTTATGACCTCTTTCCTAACACCTCAGGCGTTTTACACAAAAACTCCAAGCTGCATGAATCTGTAGGCTGAGGTTGGTCGTGATAGGAGAATATTTTCCTGTACGTATGTTATATTAATTGGATGTAAAATAAAAATGCGTGGCATATTTCACTCGTAAAGGAGCAATAGTTTGAGTACTCACTCGGTAACATGACGGTATCATGACTGACATTACTTGTTCCCTTTAGCTCACAATTCCACCACCCCACCCCCCATAGTGACTTTTTTGTTGTTCAGAAAGTGAATGTTAATAAAAGGTAAAAACAAATGCCACCGTACTTACTTGATTCAATACCCTGGCGTTTGTTTAAGACTGAACATTGTTGACCCGGCGTTCATTTATGAGGCCTCTTTTAGGGTATTTCTGAGCCTTTATTGCTTTAACATGCATTATATCTTTCACGATCTATTACAATGACGAGGTATAATATTATGTTTAAAGTACTGTACATATATAAATGATGGTAAATCAGTTTTATGTTATGCAGCACAGAAGTCCTTTCACATTTCTCAACACAGGGACGTAGCTAGGGGGAGGGGCCACAGTTTCTTTTTAGCGCGCTTGATAGCAAATATATTTAATGGTTTAATATCGATAAACCGTGTACTGAAGCTGCAAAAGGTGCTGAATCCATCATTTTCACTCAGCGGCTGTACCAAAGAAAGTCATCCCCTAAACACCTAAGTAGTCACGTGATAAGTTCAAAGGAGGTAAACGATAATGTTCTAAACAAGTGTCCCCCCCCCCCCCCCCCAACAAAAAAGACAACATCCTGGCTACGCCCCTGTTGGAGTATCATTGCTTTGTTGCCATTACTGCTACTTTCATAAACATGCGAACTTGCGACGCGACTTGGTCTTTTACTGCCACCAGTCAAAATATGGAAGGAACAGACTGATTAGTTTTAATTGACGGCAGCGAAAAACCAAATTTCAGCGTGCAGTTCGCAGCTGCCGAGTTCGCATGTTTATGAAAATAATGATGAATCTTTATTCAGGAATGCCTAAGTCACAACAGGGCCCACTCGACGAAAAAATGGATTTGTCATGTAGGCAAACATATAGACAAATATATGGGCAAATATCATATTTGACTAATAGTA